AATCCGAATAGGAAAATTCAGATGAACCTCCAGGTGCCCTGATTCACGAACCGTAAGTAAATTAGACATGATGGAATCAAAGGACTGAACAGTGCAGACGATCTGATCTGATTCACAGTCACAGCAGATTCGCTGTCGTTCCTTGAACCCGTATATAATTTGAAAAAAAAATAATTCAGGTACTGCCCTTAACTCTTTTCTGTTCCGGATCAGATTTACGTACTACCCTTACAAATTTTTTTAAACACTTCTGAAATCAATTGAGGTCCACTGTGCAGGAAATATGCAAATATTAAGTGGACTGTATAATTCTCGGTATAATTGGTGTAATCAAATCGATCGCGATATGCACAAAATTTGATTTTAATAATTACTTACTCACCTCTATCTTGAAGCGTATCACTAAATTCTTGAATAAGAGGGCCCTCTGGAACACTTCCTTTGGGTTGCTCAATCTACCCAGCATAATAGTTGAGTTAGTAAATTCAATAATTTCGAAAATCCGAAAACCGAAAGTTGTTTTGTCACCACAAATTAAAGTTACCTACGACAAAAGGTAAGGGTAAGAAAAGTTGCATGCCCTTTCACACGCTACGGTACTCTTTGGTGCGTTGTCGGACGGGTTCAATCGCAGTGGTTTTTTACTATTTTTAAGACCTATAGGTATGTAGTACCATTGTATACATGTTCTGCGTTGGTGACGCATGTGAGTTTTACCATTCAAACCTGTGCATATTATCAAAAATAATCAATGCTATGCGCGCGAATAATAACCTTCAAATCCAAAAATATTGTCACCAACGATAAGATGCCAAATTTAGTTAAACCAACGTTAATTAATAATTAATTACACGCTTTCATAAATTTAATAAAGATTCTTCAACATCCACCATCAGGATATTTAGCAAATTTTTGGCATGGATAGCATGATTCTATTCTTTGTTTTACATCATTTGATATTGTAGGCCAAAAAATTGAACATTTTGCCAAATTTAATCATTTTTCCATACCTAAATGATTGTAATGTATTCTTGTTAGCATTTCCTTTTGCAAATACTCAGGAACCCAGGTAGCACATGACGTCTATATGACGGCCAAAAGACGTCATCACATTAGTCCAAATGACGTCAAACATACGTCCAATATGACGTCAAAAAGACGCCCTAATGTCACATCCAAAAGACGTCATATCCTGACGTCCATTGGACGTCTCATGCCAAATTAAATAGACCTTAAAAAGACCATATAATGACGACCAAATGACGTCTAAAAGACGTACAATTATGGATGCCTGAAAAATGTAAAAATTCATTTTTATAGGCATACCTACATAGTGTTGTATGACGTACCTACTGGACAAAACTAACTAAAATGCATATTCCTGAGCTCATTAAAAGCAAAAAATATCTCATTAACATGAGCTTAGGAATGCTGCTTAAGTTAGTACCCAGAGTACGGCATCCAACACCTGTGTGTATACCTACAATTGAATAATATGTATTATACCCTGTATTCGAAAAAAATATGTTCAAATTTGAAAAATAAGACCAAGATCTTAGCCCAAAATAGCACTTTCTAGAATAACAAAAATATTTATCTGATAAAACACATATACCTACATAATATTTTAATAATTCTCTCTATCAAATATTTATTTTGAGGGTCCCTTGCATAACGTTCACTTATCTGAAATAAAACTAGTCTGGTTAAGAAATGAAACAAGAATCTTTACTGGAAATATTTTAATTATGTAGTTTCAAGTTTCAAGTTTTGGCATGTCATATGCCACAAATTTGGTATTATTTGTTGGAGCAGCTTAGAAAATGAAAAGCCAAAGAAAAATGGCGAACATAAATTTAAATATATAAAATTAAAAAATATTTTTTAGTACATATACATATAATATTTATAAATCGATCAAGTGTATAGGTATTTAATACTGCAATTTGCGTTTACAAGCAAGAGTGTACGATTTTCAAACACTTCTATTTCCTGCGCCATATGTCGTATTCAGTTTTATAATAGCCCAAAAACCAAGTCATGAAACCATAAAACATCCCTTAGGTGAAATACCCTGCCCTAAGAAAGGATCTACATGGGTGACTGAATTGCATCGACATGAGATTATACACATGAAAATTATTATGGATATATGTTGCAGGTTAATCAAATTATTATTTTATGACGAAATAATTTCCAGCAGGCTGGAATAATCGTTTTAATAGCTTTATTTGATGGTCCCAGGAGGTGAGCATGACTTTTGGTTGGCAAAAATCGCCAAATTTTTCAACTTTCCAAATTTTTCCTTGTAGCTGAAAGACAATGCGTCTGACGGAAAATGTCATTCCTTTCCTCCATTCAATTTTGGAAAGGACTAAATTCTGCATCGGATGACATCTAAAACGTTTATTTGGGATCATGACATTTTCCCTCCGATGCAACGTTTTTCAGCTACAGGAAAAGAACTGAGAAAGAGCAACATTTTTGCGGTTTTTTGGATACCAAACCTTAGGCTTTTCTGCAGGGATAATGTAAACTCAGATTACACGCGTTTAGGACCAAATGAAGATATTAAAATGATTTACAGTTTGCTGGAAATTAATTCCTCAAGACAATTTATTTCACTTTAATTTTATTGCGTATACAGCTTCGAGTATCCACAATTTACTAAATTGAAGCATCATGTAACAATGGAAAGCAATTATAAGTGGAATCGTTCAATTTATTTGGAAACACTAGGCATTTGAATTTAAGATCTACGAGGGACCAAACTTCAAACTCCTCTGACAAATTTGAAACAACAGAAATACCTAGATCTTTAGAATCAAGTGGGTAGACATAAAACGATTCATAATTTAAAAATTTTTTCCCTATCAACATGGTTTTTCTATCTGATGATTTGCAAATATTGTGTAGCTCAACAACATCCCCAGACTTTGTCATAAAGTATGAATTGGCCATTGAATAGCCTGTAACGCTTAGAGTTAAAAATTTCCACTTAATTTTTTTATATTGTGTTAAAATATTATTGATTTCTAGGATAGGACCATCACTATGTTCAATACTTAGCAATAAATTGTCTCCATTTATTTTTGATATCACATGGATACAATTTCTTTCAATCAACCTACGATAAATTTGTTGCAGTGGTTTCTGAGGGGATCGAATACAACTTTTGATAAAACCAAGAAAATTTTCGAAAGGAAAGGCAGAAAATGAGTCTAGTGTTCCAAAACTTCTAGACTCTTCTGCCAGGTGGCATAAAATATGTGTATTATATACATAAAACTCGGGGCCGTATATATACTCACAATGCTCTATAAAGGATTTTAATATCATTTGAGCGTTTTCAGCTCCCACAGAGGACAGATGATTTGCAGAGGCAAGCAAAGAAATTGCAACATGCAGTAACAAAAAATGTTCAAAAATCGCTATATCAATATTTCTGTCCTTAAGGACAAATGGACCAAAATATAACAGAAAATTGCGGAACTCTGTAGCTTTCCAATAGGATAGTTCAGATAAACTTCTCGGTTTTCGATTGAATTCGGAAGGAATATAGGGTCTCAAATACAACAGGTTCTCACTTAAATGTTCAACAGTTGAATGTCTTATTCGAATGTGTAAGCCCCCTGATATCAATGATTGAAGCATTTTTTTCATTACCCCTAAACATACAGCATGCATGTAATCAATGGTGAAGGATGAAACAAGACCTATATTTAAATTGAGCAATGGAGATTTTTCCTTATGATGTTCGTCATCTGTCTCTAAAACAAATTGTTCATCAGTTCTTAAGGAACTTGACGTTCCTTTAAATATAACTTTTCCTGCCTTATGATTGTAATCCCCGAATTCCCAGCATTTATCACATGAGGAATACCCTCCATGAGATTTGATACCTTTGAGATATGCTTTGGCTGGTGCATCACAAATAAAATTTAAAATTTCAACAAAATATATTTTACTATGTAATGACATTCCAGAAGTTTTTAAAATGTTACATTCATTAATAAAGTCTTCCAAAAAAATGTTTAGTGGTGAAGGCTTTGATTTGCCACAAAATATGCCAATCACAAATGGGGAACTTGAAAAATTTCGAATCATACCTAAAATTGGCCAAAACTGTACATTAGTGCTGTTAAAAAGTGGTATTCCATCAATATTAATACTTAAACGAATTCTTTCATCAATACATGAAGTAGGTATTAATTGCTTTAAGGCATTTTCAATACCAAAGTGGCAATATTCGCCATTGTCTAAATTTTTGAACACACCAACTCTGGGAGTTTTTAAAAGTGACCTACTATCCAACGGAAGTTCGGGGTGTAAGGGGGCTAGAATTTTTAAAAGGCTAGTTATTGAATGATGCGAGACTTTTGTTTTCAATGCCCACTCTCGTAAGTTAGTTGTCAAATCAGTCTTAATGGTATCACCTGCATCAAATGGGACCCCGTTTGGATATTCAAACTCTGGAGCATATCCTATTGGATCTGCAATCTCTGCTGGATAAAAATAAGGCTGATCAGAATTTGGAGGGTTGGTGTCATTTGAACATTCAATAGCAGCATTAGCAATATCGTCGTCACTATCAGCAGTATTATTGGTTAAAAAATGTGAATCGTCAATGCAGTTCGAATTTTGCAAATCATCTGTTACTTCTTGAGTTTGGTTAGTACTTGCTGCTGCATTGTAATTACTATTATTATGACTACGTAATCTCTCAAGAACTGATCTATTTTCGATAGCGATTCTTCTGTACAATTGTCTTTTGGATATATCCGATTTTAACTTCCTGTTTTTGAACATTTCAAACAAATGGAAAATAGAAGTGAGTGAAAATGAAAAGTATTAGATACCTAATACAATATTGAAATAATAATAATATATAATATTGATGCTCCTTCAAATGACGTCGACAGAATAATCTTATTTATAAACAAGAATTATGAAGTCTTTGGAATAAATTATTTTGTACAATAATTAATAAAATAATTAACTCAATTGACTTCATCATTTTTCTTCTGTCCTTTTTTTCGATCGGGTGCATGCTTTAACCATATCTTAATGGTATCTTCTATCTCCAACAAGGAAGCACTTTCAATTTTTAATTGGGTTGTTTCTGGAAACATAGAATTGAAAATCAGCTAGTTGCATCAATTTTGCCCGAAAGAGTCCATCATTCAGAGTGATTCAAGGTACAAAATCGTTAACAGCTTTTTCTGCTTATTAAAATAATAAAAAAAGTTTATCTTAAATATCTAAGTTGTTTTAAACTTTTATTTCTTGAAGGGTGTTAAAGTTGAAACTCTCATAATGGTTAAATGATGTTGATGAATGGAATTTGGTATTTCACACTTTTTACGGCCTAGGAAAGACTTCTTGAGAATTTTTGATCGTAAGTGCATAAGTCGCATTGCTTTTGAAAAAAAAACGCCTTTTCAATAAAGTTAAAATTGGTGTATATACCTACTAGAACCTGAATCGCACTGAATAAAGCAAAAAGCAAGTACATAGTAGATATTGCGAATAATTAAATAAAGATTTGGTAGTAGATCTCGCAGGAAACCTTGGAATGATTCATGTGAAACCCTGGATCATGTTTTTGTCTGTGCGATAAATTTGAAGTGATACATATAAATTTTATGGAATTTGGGAAAATTTATGGCTTTTATGTTCATACTTCGTAAAATAAACTTTAAATTCAACTTACGGATAATTGCCTTGTTCAGCTTAAGCTCAGAGAAACTCTTTTTTCCTTTTTTTCCAAAATAGCTGTAGCTACATGCTAAATCGTTGCTCAACAATTGTCTTAAAATTTTGTGGACTTTGTTTTTCAAGTTTGTTCCACCAAGGGATCCTAAATAATTCACCTAAAATCGGTATACTTATAAGTAGGTAGAGTTTGTCTGCGAGAAAGTAGACCTAAAAAACTCTAGGGTCGAATTTATAGTTGTTCCTTGAGGCTTCCTTGGAGGTCGTGAGTCTAGAATGGACACTTGATACTGTTTGATAAGTTTGTCATGGCAATTCTAAACGTTTAGGGCTGCCTCAAGGACTGAGGATTCCTTAAGGAACGACTATAAATTCGGTCCTAAGAGCCAGCATTATGAAACACCGAACCAAAGGCTGAGTTTTAACCTAAGTTCAACTGCATTCAGGAGATGAAACCTAATATTAAAACCTTTGGTTTGGTGTTTTAAAACACCAGCTCTAAGTCTACTTTCCTGCAACCAACCACCAAATAAGGGTTAGTCAGCTGACTTCATTGCTGGGGAGTGTCATATAATTTCTCGCCCTTACTTCATGTGACAAAAAAATTAAATTTCTGATAATTTATATGAAGTTATTTCAGTTAAGAAAAAAATTATGATTGTAATAAAACAATATAAGGTCTGTTCCAACCGACATGAGAACTGTTCTAGAACGATAATTTCCAGTCAATCAATTCATTTGGCCATTTTATTTTATTTTATATTATTTTATTTTCTTTCAAAACGTAGTTATAGTGGAAAAGAATGTAAGTTGGCAAATAAATTGTTTATTATTATTATTATTATTATTATTATTATTATATTATTTAAGATAAACGTTCAAGTTATTAAAAAATAGGTGGCCTGGAAATTACTGGTTCTGGAACGGTTCTCGTGTCAGTTGGAACAGAGCTATACAGAACTTGGAAAGCATTAAAAAATGATATTTACCAGTCGAGTGAAATTTCGTTTTTCTTCTAAATAGTTTTCTGTTGCATTTATGTTGTCATCGCTTATCAATGGCAGCTCTATAGGTAGAGGATTCCCAGAATTCACTGCAGCTTCAACAACTGGTACACCGGCAATAAGTGTTTCTAGGTTTTCCAATTTCGTCAAGATAAGTTTATTCTGTTCCTTAACTGTGTTAAGAACATTAATAAATATAGGTAAATCTAGAAAATGAAGAAATAAAATATGGAACATTTTTTTCCTCGATTTTAATAGTAGATTTTTTTAAATTCTATCCTATTTTGTATTAATTCTAAGGTGAGCAGAAATAGTCTATTACTTACTTGATTCTGTTATATCTGGTGTCCTTGCATATGGTGTAGCTCCAATTGTTAATAACTGAGGAGAAGTTGCTGTAGACCGCTCCTTAGAAGTTGAAGGCAAAGAAATTTGCCTTTCTTGCCTTTTTTCTATGGAACCTATTAACAATATGTTGGCAATTCAGATATTTGAAAGAAGCAGGTTCTATGATGAGTTTATAAAAACCGCTTAGGTACATATTGCACGTTTCCAAGCAACATTTACAAATTTAAAAAATTGAAGCTATGATACCAAGTTTATAAAACAACAGCTGGAAAATATAAAATTACTCCACTCAACGGTACCCTATCTAACGCACAGTCAATAAGGCCAATTTAACACTAGGTATCAAAGTTCTTTGACAAAAAATGAAGGATTTTGTACAATAAAATCTATGAGTTTTTGCCAGAAATTAGGGGTTGAAAATAAAATTGTGTACAAACCTCATTGCTGTCTCAAGGTTAAGTTTAGCTCAATAATTGTAATATACTATTTTCTCAATAATGGTAAATTGACTAGGGAAATGAAAAGACAGTAAAATTTTGAAAATTTTAAAAAATCAGTAATGTCAACAAAACATGGTTATAGATAATAGTATTGTACACCAAGGGACTAAAGTGGTACTTTTAATCCTGGGACAAAAAGTATATATTCTGACCAAACGGAAGGCCATAATTTGTCGAGGGATTAAAAAATCACTTCAGTTCTGTGGTGTACACACTATTTTATGCATTTCAGGAAATAAAAGTACCATTTTGTTCCTTGTTTTAAAATATAATCTCGGGGATCAAAAGACTTACTGTACTCCCTAAAAACAGTGATTGCAAGGGTACTTTTAATAAGTGACAAAAAAAAAATTGCAGAAATACATTATAACTTACTTGAATCTCTTATATCTGGTGTTTCCACATATAGTGAAGATCCGAGTGACGACCGAGGAGTGAAAATTTCTGAAGCTGCTATGGGCCTCTGCTCCTTTGATGTTGATGGAGAAGAAATTTGCTTTTTTTCTTTGCTACCTAATAACATAACATCACATGTTTTAAACGCAACAGTATAAACTTAGGCCTTTTCGGAAACTGTGATCTGTTTGATCTGATCATCAGCTGATGATCTGGTTATGCCGATCAGTTTCTGAAAAGACCATTTTGTTATTGACCATTTCTCAATTTTGAAGCTTTCGAGCATAGCTTTTGAGTCAAATACTTGTCAAATAATGCCAAAATAATATTATTTTTGGTTATAAAATAAATAAGCAATTTTAAGCGATTGACCAGTCGGTCATCTTGACATTTAAGCAATGCATTTAACGTCAGTTGAGACCAATTGGTTGATAAATGACGTTTAACTAATGGTTTATCTGTCAAGATGACCGACTGGTCAATCGCTTAAAATTGGCTAATGTGTGCCTCCCAAATGGTCTGGTTTACATTTTTTTATATTTCACCATCGGAAAGAATTATATTTTTAAGTCTCCAAAAATAAGACCTCAGAAAAAACTCTAAAAATATTATAATTTAAGTTTATTAATCAACACATCACGCACCTGATAATTGTTTTATCTTGATTTGTGGGGGTCTAGAAAATCTACTATCATCACCACTATCATCATCACTGTCTAGAACCCTTTTGATTCTTTTCCTAGGGCGATTTATGACGACACTTGTAGCATCGTCGGTATCGTAGATGTCACTAGTCTGTTCAGCTTCCTTTTCCTTTCTAAATGCCTTGTTCAAATCACCTGTATAATAATAATAGTCTAGGAGGCATTGAAGATTTTCGGTACTTATTTTCCCAGTCAGCAAACACTGATATAATTGTTCAGATTGTTATGCTAAGCCAAATTCATATATATTTGGCGGGGGGGTTTCCGATAGCTTGAGATGGTAGCGTGTTAGAAAATACTCGAAAAATACCGAGGAAAAAATAAAATGCACTGCACTTTTTTTTCCAGTGACAATTTAATTCATACACAAAAAAACCCATAAGGACTGGTGTTTTTGTCATTATTACAGCGATTATTTCCCACCTGTCAATTTGAACCAATAAAAAAAACGGATTTCAACGTCAAATAGTATATAACATTCAGAGGTGGGAAGTGTTTCATTACTGTCGAGAGATTAGTTAGTTAAGCGTCGAAGTTATAGCTATAATCTCGAGACAGGAATGAAACTTCCCACCGAGGTTTGTATACTATTTTATTTACAATCATCATATTTTTACTAGATACACACAAAATTAAAATTAAAATTTTTATTGTATAGAAGGAGGTAGGTAATATTACATTACCTACCTCGAGGTAGGTAATATAACATTACCTACCTCTAATAGAGGGTGGGAAGTAGAGGTAGGTTATGTGACACTTCCAAACCTTCAATCAAGTTAGTAATGTCAACATTACATGTATGATTATAAATAAAATTGTTTATTTACAATCATACATGTAATGTTGACATTACTAACTTGATTGAAGGTTTGGAAGTGTCACATAACCTACCTCTACTTCCCACCCTCTATTAGAGGTAGGTAATGTTATATTACCTACCTCGAGGTAGGTAATGTAATATTACCTACCTCCTTCTATACAATAAAAACTACTTGTCGTGGGTGCCAAACGTTTTTTTTTTTAATACGTCACAAACTGTCAAAAAGAATTTTTAATTTTCATTTTGTATGTATCTAGTAAAAATATGATGATTTTAAATAAAATAGTATACAAACCTCAGTGGGAAGTTTCATTCCTGTCTCGAGATTATAGCTAACTTCGACGCTTCGCGTCTCAGTTAACTAACTAATCTCTCGACAGTAATGAAACACTTCCCACCTCGATATGTAATATACTATTTCAAGTGGATAAATTGCTTGACAACTCCTGTCAGAAGTTATCCGATAAAATGTTTGATAGGTGCTGTCAGGTGGGAAATCTTACCAAATACCACTCGAGCATCTAATTTTTCCTGTGGAAAAATCTGGAAAACTCGTTTCAAATCAATTTGCTCGACAAAAAGTACTTGAATGACAAAAACCCTCGTCTTCGACTTGGGCTCTCGTACTTTTGTCAAACAAATTACTTGTCAACTCGTTTTCCCAAATTTTTCCGGAAAAATTAGAAGCACTCGTGGTATTATCCCCGAAAAAAGTTTGACAAAGTGACAAAACTGAACCTAGCTTGACAAGACCAGCAAAATTGTCATTTACGCAGGTATTTATTAAATTATCTTACCGAATTACACTCGAGATTTTTTTTGTCGAAAAGAGAACTTAACATTTGTAACTCGAGGTTTGTTGCCTTCAGGCAATTTAACTCAAAAAACAGCCGGAAAAAATTACTCGTCCTACGGACTCGTAATTTTTTCAGAGGCAGTTTTTTTCGATTAATTGCCAGGCAACAAAATTCTCGTTGAAATGTCAAGTTTACTTTGACTACTTTGACAAAAATGAAGCTCTCGTGTAATTAAAACTGACAATTTAATTCATACACAAAAAAGCACATAAGGACTGGCGTTTTTGTCATTATTACAGCGAAAAAAGTTTGCCCAAACTTTTCCAGCGACAAAACCGACAAAACTGAACCTAGATTGACATGACCAGCAAAATTTGTCATTTACGTAGGTATTCGTATTCATTAAATTGTCTTACCAAATTACACTCAAGCTTTTTTGTCAAAAAGTAAACTTCACATTTCTAATTTGAGTTTTGTTGCCTTTAGGCAATTCAACTCAAAAAATTGCCAGAAAAAATTACTCGTCCTATGGACTCGTAATTTTTTCAGAGACAGCTTTTTTCCGTAATGCCATGCAACAAAATTCTCGTTGAAATGTCAAGTTTACTTTGACATAAATGAAGCTCTTGTGTAATTATAAGTGACAATAATAGTTCTGTTATAGCGTATTTCATTGGTAGGGTAGTTGCGCACTGAGTGTATTCGTGTCTTTGTCTACCAGCTTGTATAAGGAGATAAAAATACACTTTTGTTTGCACTGGTTCTACCAATAAAATACGCTATTAGTAAAATATACAGTCAAAATAAGAAAAAAAATAGTCAGGATAATCTGTGAGTATGGGCCGAGGTATGGGCAATATGTCTGGCAGGTGAAAAACTGAAAAACCGCAAATTTTCAGCCAGACAAACTTACCTTCACTTGGGACATGCCAGACTATTATCTCCATTAAAAAAATTACAAACTTTAGTGAATGCCAAACATCTATGACTGGAAAATTGTTGTTTATTGTCACCATCCACCATCCCAACAAACTTCTTCATATTTACCGGCTGGGAAAATAAGTACCGAAAAAAGTTCACTGCCTCCTAGACTATAAGTAGTCATAATAAATAATATAATTAATCACAATAATGTTATTATTATTATTGAGCACTGCACATATCGTGTGCAAAGTTTTTTAGCCGCGCATATGATAAAAAATATAATATTTTTCGACGCAAATACATGAATGCAACCAAAAACTAACAATATTTTGAAAAATTTTAGTTAGATTATAAAGAACGCGAATAGAAAAAGAGATCCAATTGAATTGAAAGATGGACAATGATAAATTCGGCATCCTCGCATTTTTATTAATTTTTTGGCCAATGGCGTTACTGAATGTTCCCGCGTTTTCGAGACAGTTTAAAAATCCGATTTTCAATTAATTTTATTTTGAAAAATAAGCTTTCTTTTGGAAAAAAAATAAGTACAAAGAGAGGTTATTAGAATGAGGAACCTAGGCTGGAAGTCGATATCGTTTTTCATTTTTAACCGCCATATTTGGCCCAAAATTTCAATTCAAAAATAATCCCAGTTAGAATAATCAGTCTATTGAATAAAACAGAAGTAAATGCTTTTGCTTAAGTTTTTTGAGATAAACATATCCAGCTAAAATGCAGCAAAAAGAGACGGAGGTAGAGTATAAGCATTTACTTCACTTTATTCAATAGACTCAATGTGTATAATTCTAACTGGGATTATCACAAAAAACTCAATCACAAACACAATAATGATATACGTTATTAATAACTTACCTGTCTGAAAATAAATTTTTTTCACGCCGTAAAGGGTCCAATCTGACTCAACGGGCTCACTTTCTACCAGGGCTTTTCGATAGAGCTTGCTGTCTTTTATTGGCGGCCAGAAGACCTCCTTTTTCAATGGCGTCAGCCAGCTCGTATGAACTACAGCTAGACCTTCGCCGCCTGTTTCATCCAGCTGCACGACGCAGTACATATTTTTTTTTGTATTTCCACTTCCAGTAATCACTTGGCACTTAGAGTAACTAAGAAACCACACCAGATTTAAAAAAAACCCGAATAAATCGCAGGGACAGAGGGCACGACACAACAGCATGTTCTGTGAGCATGGCGGACAGCAAAGAGAAATGGCAAAATGGCCGACCGAGCAGCACCGACTCGCAGTCGTTACGCGACAGCGCCTCTAGCAGTATTATGCCGAACTACCGGTATTTTAAATTGAACCAATCATACGGCTTCGTATTCGCGCGCTGCTCTCGGGACAAGGTTTGGGTACATAATACAAATCAACAGCTTTATTAGACAACGGTGTGGTAGTATAGTGGTCAAGATCGCCGCCTATCACGGAAGAGACCTGGGTTCAATTGCAGTTGGGGACGTTTTATTTTTTATTTTTTTTTTTTCAAATTAAACACAAAATTACTGTTATTGACGGGTAGGTGGGGCGCTGTAAATTGAATTGGTATTTTTATTTGGTTTTTAATTTTTGTTTTTTTTTTCAACATACAACATAAAAAAAAAAAATCTGATAATTTTATTTCTTAGCAAGTGAAAAATGGGAAAAAATATTTATCCTTAACTTTTTTGGTTTTTGACGTTCTGATCCAAAAGACTTACTTAATTTTAATTTGTAGACCTCTATGAGACGTCTAAAAGACGTCTCCAAATTGACAACTAAACGATGTCCTAAAAATGACGTCCTAATGACGTCATTTTTATGGCACAGGACGTTTAGGACCAAAAGTGACTGAAAATTGACGTCCTTTAGACGTCAATAACGTCACGTTGGCTACCTGGGAATCACCAAACAGTTGCCTTTCAATATTAAATTTTCATGTAAAGTTAATTCATCTCTAATTTTAAAATAGGGTTTAACACAATCTTTGACTTTTTTAATTGAATTTGGCCACCCTTCTAGAATCACCAATTCTCCCAAAGCTGGATCATTCAGTCTTATTTCTATTTTCATTTCCTTCCGTGCCTGAGCCTGCAACCTGCAACCATCAAATGTATCCTCACTTTTATCTTGAATCTATGCTCTTGATAAAGCATCTGCAATAACTATCTTTTTACCTGATTTATAATATACTTCAATGTCGTACTTTTGAATTTGTAACAACATTCGCTGGAGCCTAGGGGCACATTTGTGGTTAAAATTGTTTCAATATTATCAAAAGCTTTTTGTTGAGTTGACCCCCATGAGAATTACCATCTTTTTTTAACAACGACCTTAAATGCTCTGAATTACTTGATAAAGAAATTAATTTGCTGACATAAGTAATCATACCTAATGCTCGTTGTACATCTTCTCATCATGTTGGTGTAGTCGACTCTTCTATAGCTAGTAATTTTGTCTGATCTAGTGACACGCCATCAGCTGAAATTTAGTGTCCGATATATTTTATGCAAGACTTGCCAAAATGATATTTTTCTATATTGAATATCACATTATTTATTTTAGCTGTCTGAAAAACTTTTTTCAACCTACAGTCATGTTAGTCATGTTGTTCCTTGTCTTTTTCAAAGACTATTAAATCATCAATATACATATATTCCTGTACCTTCACAACCCTGGAATATTTCCCTGAACTTATGCTGAAATACTTCAGGTGCTGATTTTATACCATATGGTAGCCTTAAAAACTTGTATCTGCCAAATGGGGTGCCAAAAACACAAAGATTTGTACTTTCTTTATCCAAAACAATTTGGTAGAAGCCCCAAGTGGTATCCAATGTAGAAAATATCTTTGCTCCCGCCATTTTGGCAGTTATTTCTTCTAGTGTTGGAATTAAGCACTGTTCTCGTTTTATAGAATTATTCAAATCTTTCGGGTCTAGACAGATTCTAAAACTTCCATATGGCTTATGTGCCATTACCAATGCATTTACCCAGTCAGAGGCTCCCTCCACTTTTTCAATTATTTTTTGTTTTTCAAGATCAATTAGACTTTCTTTTATAATTTGGGCAACAAAGGAAGTGCAACCCTCCTTGTGGCATGAACAACTGGCTGTGCATTTTCTTAAAGTTTAATTTTATATTTATCTGGCAAACGACCAATAATACTCACAAAACTTTCTTGAAAATTCTCAACTAATTCTTTATAATAGACCTTTTCAAAGTAGAATAATTCTGTTGCGCATGCGCAAAACATTGTTGCCAAGTGTCGGTTTCTATCACGCTATACAGGAAAGAATCATGAATAATTTCGATTTCATTAGAACTGAGATTCAAATTCTTTATTATTAATTAACCTTATATTTGATGCAGTCAAAGACTCAAGCTATTTATTGAAAAGATATATTGATGGTCATTTTGTAAAGTTTTTTTTAAAACTTTTTTTTTTTTTTTTTTTTTACGGATATGCGCACTCGCAAGGAAAATGTCCTATCACGCTCGAGAAGCGGCAAGTGCGCGGAAATGTCGGTGTATGTTGGTCTTGAAACGGTTCAGGTTGTAACCTGCAGGGAAAACCGTCGCAGGGAGTTTATTCCACAGCGATGCTGTTCTCCAGAGATATGAATTCTGATATAATGAGGTTCTTGGTGCCTCTAGTTTGACAGTAAATTCATGGTTACCGTCTGTTTGACGGGTTCGCCTGGTAGGCGCTACTCTCGGTGGAATCATACGTGCCAACTCTTCAGAGCATTTTCCATGATAGTACCTGTAGAAGAGAGATAAATCGCCCACAGATCTGCGATGTTCGAGACCATCCAAGTTACGAGTAAGTGCGGGGTCATTGATCAGCTTGATAGCTCGTTTTTGCACGGTGTTCAAAAGCATTAAGGTATGTTTGGGTGCTGCACTCCATATATGTGAGCAGTACTCCATAGTTGGTCGAATCTGGGCTTTGTAGAGTGTCAGCAATTGGCTTGGTGTGTACAGATGTCTTGTACGAAATAGCACCCCAAGCTTTTGGGACGCCCTTTTAGCAATATCTGCCACGTGACTGTGCCAAGACATGTTGGTCTCTGCAGTAACCCCCAAGATGTTCAACTGCCTCTGTAATGTGACAGCACTTCCAGATAGCATGATGTTTGGCTCACCGGTGCTGGTCTTTTTTGAAAAGAGAGCTGCTTGGGTTTTCTGCGCGTTGAACTGTACAAGGTTTTTGTTACCCCAGTCCTCTATTATCTCCAAGTCGTTATTTATCTGCGATATTTGAGTTAGTCTAAGATGATGGAATTCACGTGCGGAAAGACCTGTGGGTGGTATGAGTGAGGAGACTACATTGCCATCGTCTGCAAAGCAATAAAGTGGATTTACTGTTTTATCTATGAGGTCATTTATGTAAATCAGAAAAAGAGTTGGCGAAAGGATTGCTCCCTGTGGCACACCAGCATTTATTTGGTAAGAGTTGGAGTTCTGGCCATCCAGTGCAACATAAATGGATCTGTCCTTTAGGTAACTTTCAAACCAAGTGCAAAGTTTCGGCGATAATCCCATTGCTTTGAGCTTGTTGAGCAGATTTTCATGCCAAACTTTGTCGAATGCTTTAGATATATCTAAGGCAATTGTTCTTGTTTCACCCCGCAACTCAATCGCTTTTTGCCATAAGTGAGTGACGTATGTAAGTAAATCGCCAGTTGACCTATATTTTCGAAATCCGTATTGCTTATCGTTGATAATTTTGTACTTTTCCAAGTACTTGGTTAGGTGATTGTTCACAACTCTTTCCATTACTTTTGATATCACCGGAAGTAGAGCAATTGGTCTATAGTTTAACGGATCTGTCTTTTTTCCTTTCTTTGGAATGGGTTGTACTGCGGCAGACTTCCATGATGATGGATATACTCCTTGCCTGTAAGACAAATTGAATAATTTTGCGAAAGTTGGGGTGAGTTCGTTGGCGCAATTTTTGAGTACTATTGCGGGAATGCCATCCGGACCCATTGCTTTGTTTGTATCTAGCTTTTTAAGGGATTTTCGTATTTCTCTGTGACAAAAGGGTACCTCTGGCATACTATGGGAAACCCTTTCAATGAACGGTGGAGTTTTTCCGTTTGGCACTGTTAGGTTGGAGTTGGAGGAAAACATTTGGGCCAGCATATTGGCTTTTTCCTCTGATGTTGTGGCTAAGTGATTATTTTTATCTGTAAGTGGTGGTATGGATGACTTGGTGAAGTTAGATCCAACAGCTTTTGCAAGAGACCAAAAGGACCTAGAACTACTTGGACAATTCAGCAACCTGTTTTTTATTCTTTGATTGTATGTTTCTTTAGCGGAGTCAATAGTAATTTTGCAACTATTTCTGGCTTCTATAAATTCTGTGTGGTTTTGAGCGGTTTGTTGTCGTTTCCAAAGGCTATATGCTCTGTGTTTTTTCTGTACAGCCGTTTGACACTGGCCGTTGAACCAAGGTTTTGCATTAGCTCTACGTTTAGTTGTATGTGGGATATACAGTAAGGGGCAGGCTACTAGGTATATAGGATCCACCTTGACGAATTTACAATCGTCCGCAGCCGTTTGAACACCTGTCGCTGTCGGTCCGCTGTCGTTTTTTTGACGACTTTGAGTGACTTTGACGTTCGTTGAGTTTGTTCATAAACCATGGTTTACATCAGTACGTTTTATGATTTAACAGACTTAAGCCCGGTCCAGACGTTATGTAACTGATACCTGATCACGTGTTGAACTGTACAGACAAAACGTTATGCAAAACGTAGCATCTAGACCGTGCTTTTAGATGTATCGTCGAGCTTCACTTACTTATTTTTAAAAGACGTGTATTTAGATAGATTTTTTTCGAACCGAAACAATAATACTATTATTGTTCGGATTCTATGGAAAAAAAAAACATGTATTTTAGAAAAGCCATCAAGGAAAAACTAAAAATGTATTCAACATACAAAATAGAAGAAAAATTAAGTAAAATAAAAACAATAATTCTAAACAGATAATCTAATGCAGTAAATGTTCAAACAGTCCCAGGTCACCCTCTTGAACTAAACGATCATAGAAGGCTCTACGAACATTATTTAGCATCACAGGGGTGACAGTTAGATATATTTCTCGAATTTTGAAACGCAGCTGCTCAAGGTTCACGGCGCGATTCTCCTGAAAACTATACATTTTTGATTTGCAATAACCGCAGAGAA